GGCCCAGCTCAAAGACGTGATCCTGAGGCAGAATAATCTTTCTGATGTGTTTTCCTTCTTCTTCTTCTTTTTTGATCATAACATGGTTTTTGGTAAATTCACTATATAATAAACTTTTTTTGTTGTAACTACATGTCCTGGATGCTGTGTTCTCCTTTTTTGATGTAGTGTCTAATGACTGAGCTGCAGTGTGTATATGATTGACTCATTTGTGTATGATCTGAAAACATTGTTTGGTTTTGAGTGCTGGTGACATGGTTTTGAAGCAATTGCTTAAACTTTGCCAGACGAGTCAGAAGTTTTGTGAATTTAGTTTGAGTATTTGGATTTGTGTTTAAGGTTTTGAGAAAATGAGCGGTGGTTTCAAGAAACGTGTTTTAGCAATTCAGAAAAACTGTAAAACAGCCCCAAACAAACATTTATTATTTCACCTGGAAGTGAGTGCAGGTGATGGCACAGTCTCTCTTATGTAACCATGCCTGTCCTAGCAAAGCCACTAAGTCATTTCCATTTTGCTAGTTTGGACAGAGCTCTGGATTTACTTCTGTTGGTGAATTCACATTCCAAATCTAGAGCTAGCTTGTATTTGTAGTTAGTGCAAGTCTACCCAGAGTGCTTCATGACTGGCTTCATCCCCTTTATTTTTGACATAAATGAAATTACAACATAATTATTTTCCTTATTTTAGCATTTTTGGAGCATAATTATTACTTATTATCAAATCTGATAGTGGGGACAGGCATGACTACTGAAAACATTTTTTTTATTATTTTTTTTATGGGATACATATAGTTACTAGTGCCTACAGTATTTACAGCAGGAGGACAGTGTATGTGGGACTGAATCAAAATGAACTAAAAACCATATTCATCATTATGAAAGACCATGACACCCAGTGCAAAGGAATGCATTGTAAATTAATTTTTGGACAACGGTAGAGCTCTCTACTGGATAACTGGAAGTTATCTCAAACCTCATTGAAACTAGTACAGTACTAGTTCAACCTTAACTGCATGTCAACAAAAGTGGTATACTGCATTCATAACATAAAACAACAAGAAGAGGAATTGCCATATGTGTCTTGGGAGAATATCTGTAATACATAGGCCTACTGCATAATAAAACTTTTAATCTTGTGTTATCGTTAAAGAAATATCTGGCTCCAGATTCATAATGCACTATAAATCTTGAGCCAGTCCCAGCTGACACTGGTTGAGAGGCAGGGGCCACCCTGGACAGGTCACCAGTCTCTCCGCAGTATTCTTTGGAATATTTGGAACTTATTGAATCTGACGGCCTAAAGAGTGATGAATCACTGCAGGTTGCAACACGACATGGGGCCACTCTGGACAGGTCACCAGTCTCTCCGCAATATTCTTTGGAATATTTAGAACTTACTGAATCTGACGGCCTAAAGAGTGATGAATCACTGCAGGTTGCAACACGACATGCGTGCACTGGCGGGCGTGCGTGAGTGCACGCCCCACTCCCTCAGTCACTCATTAATTCATTCATTGACTACATTTAATATACATACGCCGTAGTTTACTTTATAGTGAGCAGTAAATTGAGATTTCACACACTCAGTAATTATCATTAGCCTGTTTTGTGTCATCAGCTGTGGAGTCAGAATGGTATAATGTTCTCATTTATACAACGGAGACTGTTAACGGGTAGTAGTAGTGTAGGTCTATATATCACAGACACTAAACGTTTTGTTTCACTGAGGAATTTTTCAGTTCCCTGGACCTACATGCAAGTTCCGTATTTGGAGAAAATGCCGAGCACACTAAATGGTGCAACAGGCCTACTAGTCAGTGGTGAGTGGCTTTAAACACAGCCTGTGTTTTTTTTTTTTTCCTGTTGAGGGGAGGGTCCCACCACACCCACCAGCAGCCCGGCAAGCGTGAGGAGGACTACAAATAAGCCAGAGGTGACTGCAGCCAGGGTGAGAGACACAGTACTCGTTTCTGAGCCAGAGACTAGTGAAAAAACCCAGCTGCAGCCATGGCTCAAGGTGAGTTTTACACCTCCTGTTTATTTAAATAGGCCTATAAACAAGTGGAATCTGCTTGCTGTTTAATAGGCTAACTTCTTTGTAAGCAGCTAAATGATTAAAAATAGCTTATAAATGTTTTAATTCCTAATATGGAACTCCCCAGTATGAGACTCACTCCCAGCATGTTTTAAGAGTGTATACTTGTTGTCAGTCTAAGGAGTGAATGTACAGGATGGACCTCTGCTGTTGTCAGGAAGCATGCTGTGGGCTTCACCCTGTGCTGCTGGACTCTGCTTTTTCAAGAAGAGGTTCATTAGAGACCAGAAGACAGATGTGTCCAACAAATGTTTTACTCTCATGTTTGAACAAATGACTGTTGCCCTGGGGCCTTAGAACTTATAATAGCGACGGAGAACAGCTGGTGCCTCCACTTATAAACTGCTGCTGTCTTTATATGCACCACCTTAAAAATACTCTCGTTTGCTTTAGGTCCTTGTAAAGACATGCCCAAGAAACAAAGCAGTCAAACCTCCAGGTTTGCTATGAATAAACTCACTGAGTGGTGACTAGACACACAATTGAATTGTGTGTGTAGTGACGGTCTCAAATCAGTTGACCTGTGTGTGCAGAGGGCGAAGTCTGTAACATTCCTAAAACAACTGTGGGGGGTGTATGCCTTTTTTTTTAAATCACTTTAGTAGACAGTATATAGAGGAAACATTTGAAAACTGGAATAGCCTCATCTCAGTCTTAATAGAAATGCACACCTTTAGTCAGTTAGTATGTTTTAATCTTCTTATTCACTGCTTTTTAAGAGTCTTGCTATGGGAGCAGCTAAATGAAAATCTGATTCTTTAGACCTATACCACTACAGAATTTGCATATAGATTAAACAACATATTGATAAATCAGACACTGTCGCCTGTTTTCCTTCTGTTAGAGATGCAAAAAGCATTCAGTTTAAGTTTAAAGTGTTTGTAAGGGAACTCTGTGTTACTGCCAAAGAATGAAAAAAACTTTTCTTCTGATGGATGTTTGCATATTTGTTTTTCCAGAATGAAAATAGTATTTACAGTACCAGCTCCTACCCAGTTGATGCTAGCTAGACTTACTGAGACAGCTCCTCCAAGGTGTTGCTCCTGGTTGGTAGAGTGGGAGTGAAGTGTGGGTGTGCACAGTATGTAAAGGTTAGGAGGGTCAAAGACTGAGGACACTCTGTCTTCAAATACCTTCACTCTGGCTTTACACCACCCATGCATGCCTTCTGGCATACTACAACTTCTTTCCCTTAAACAACACACAATGTTGCATTGTGTTCTGGGAGCAAATCCAAACTGATTTTGTTATACTGTATATCCGTTATGTAGCCACTAAGGCCCTCAGATCACGAGAGAGAGGATTTTATCAGTATTCAACTGCAAGATTATTCCGTCTGTGGTCACAGGCTTCCATTTGTTATCAATCTTTGTAATTGTTTTCACATTGTGTGAGCTGAGTGTCTTGCCTTGAGGTGCAGTTAAAAAGAAACTCCTCTTTTCAAAAAGAAGAGAAAATTGAATTTAGCCCCAAGTGAAATGTTTCTTTCTTCAGACGGTTCTTTACCAAACTGTTAAATAGCATCTGTGCTTCAGTGTAATTCTCATGTTTGTTTGATATTTGCACAGATTAAATGTGAATTAAATGGCTGGAGGCAATCTAAACAGCAAAGCCCTCATAATCCTCTGATTACAGTCTCCAGCTGTCCCAGAATAGGTAGCGTTGTCATCTTTAATGCATGTGTCCCAATTAGTTACACAAGCATGTTCTCACTTAGGAACTGAACCAAGATCAGTAAGACATCACAGCCTTGAGAAATACTGTACCGAGTGTCTTGATTCCCCATGAGCATCTTGTTAACCAGCCGTACACTACGCCCTCAGGCTTGTTTCTGTGTAATGTATGGGGGGAGGATAACCTCCTGACAGCTCAGCCAGTGGTTAGGCAGCAGGACCATGGAGGTGAGGATTCTAACTGTGGCTACAAGTAGGAAATCAAAGGGTGAGACTCTGTTAGTCCGAACACACCCTGGAGGGAAAAAGTGGTTGGGTGAATAAGCACTCTTAACTCTATAGGCAGTGACAGTCTGTCTCCTTCTGTAACATTCACAACCACAGATAACCACTTGTTAATTCACCACAAGTCTGAAGTAAAACTTTTAACTTTTGGACCTTGTGAATTCTGAAAAATTATCCCTCATCTGATATGCACCTATTAAACTAAAATAAGATTGAGGGCAGTTATATTAAAATACTTTATTGCTACAGTGTGAATAGTATTCTGCACAACTGTAGAGGATTGAAAGAATTTTAAAAAAGCAACTGCATTTTGAAAAATACACTGAATAATAGCACAGTATTTGATTTATGTACTGATAATTGACTTACTGTACTGTATATTTCAGAGATTATAAATTAAACCCACCTTGTGCTTTTATAAACGTCCTTTCTTATTTCAAGCTCTGGACATTGATCGGTGGGACCTGGAGTGTGAGTTGAACAACACCGACCATTATACTGAGCTCAACGGCCTCGATCGTCTCATTGTGAGGAGAGGCCAGCCGTTCACAATCAGCCTGTACCTGCGCTCTGGAAGTTACCAACCGGGTGCCAGCTCTCTTGAATGCATTGCAGAAACAGGTGCTACTTCTTTGCCTCTTTACACTTCTGTCTTGTTAAAACCATGCTTAATAAGTGAATGCAATACACCGTACAGTACTTGTTGAATTATACTGTGTGTTTCAAGAATTTGTTCTGATAAAAGAAGTTAGCACGAACATATTTCTTTGACTAAGATAATTTCAGATGCTTAACGCCTTGTGTAATGGTCATTTGTATTTGACAAAAACCTCTAGACTGAAAAAGTAAATGAACAAACTTTCACAATATGAAAAATATGTCATGCTAATCCTGTAATAAACATAGGATGAAGGCAAAGTATTATACATACAGTATGTCCTCTCACCCAGTAAATTAGAATCACATTGGAACCAGCTCCTACTGTGACTGTGTTTTTGCTGATCTTATTTCCTTCGCTACCTATTGAGATTCCCAAGATCAGAAGGGAAAGGAGTGGTAACTGAGGGAAAGGAAAAGGAAGTCATTTTTTCTTACTCAGTCATCAGTGGTACTGCTGCTGGCTTTGACAATGGGCACCCTTACAGCTGGTGTAAGATATTCTGTTGTTGTTTCCACTGTTAGTCTCGACCTCTCCCTCATAGCTCAGAGGGGTTAATGGACTTTCCTGTTATGGTTGGGAGTCCTAGATGCTGTATTCCAATATATTTGTCTTCAGAATACCCTAGAAAAACAGCAAAAACTATGTCTCTTTGCTCATGTTATATTTGGATAACTTCTCATGTACAATATGATAAGACAGCTGTTACATGCCATTGAATCCGACTGTTTAAACGGGAAGTGTTGCAGGCCCACAGGAAAACATGTGTATAATCACAGATAACATTATCAACCTTTTAAAGTCAAGTGTATTTAATGAATTGGGGCAGGATCCTTCATCCCACCCAGTGAGATGGAATTGGTCAAACAACCTTTCTCAGGTTTAGCTGGCTGTGTTGAGTGGAAAATATCAAGGAATTTACTTTTCTGACTGAAGTGAACACATCGTTTTAAGTTTATATAACTTACCAGAACTGAGGTTGCAGAGAGAGACTTGAATCTCATTAAGTTTTGGTCATAATTAGCTGTTCGTGTATAAGCAAAAATTCCTCAGATCCCTGAAGTATATTTAGGAGAGGGTTGGGACTTTCCAATCCTTAGACACAAATATTTCTCTCAAATCTCTTGGCTCCTTGCCACATGCAGTCTCAAACAGGGCTGTAACCATACAGTATTCTCTGTCACACGCAGGCCCTCAGCCAGCTGAGCAGTATGGTACCAGGGCCTCCTTTGGCCTGTCTGCCAACATTGATACCTCCCGCTGGAGCGCTGCTGTCATCGGCCCCCCTGGGGACATGGTGGCCTTGTCCATCTGCACTGCACCTGATGCACCAATAGGCCGCTACACCCTGACCCTGGGGGGATCAGGGCATTTCGAGTTCATCTTGCTCTTTAATCCCTGGTGCCCAGGTGGGTAAACAGACTATAGGTCAAGCTGTCATGCAGTAGATCTTGTGCGGGGTCTAAAATGTGCATTGATGATCATGCTTCATGCCAGAGTGGGCTAAAGACAGCTGCGTTGGAATTTACTCCCCACTCACTACATAGCGCGTTATATTTACTGTTGTCATTTTCATTGAGGGTCCAAATTCTGAATGTGTAAATGTATCCAAAAAATCGTGTCATGGCACGGACACCACAATGCAATGCTCTGTGACTGTACAGCTGTTAGTGGTGAGGCAAAATGATGATGATTAGTAAGTGTCTGAAATCTCAATTTACCATTTGTTACTTCATACTATGCAGTAAAGGGAGAAAGGAATGAGTAACTTTTGACACAGCGAGTTTCTTGGTTGGTAGTGGTCACTTCCTGAGGTCTTATCACCATGAAGTTGTCGCTTCTGGCTGTAGCTTAACAATGAACAGACAAAAGATTTGATGAAAATACTATAAATAGTATTAAAGATCTATACTGCACCAGCCATGCTCCACTTAGGACATGTTTGTATTGTTTGTGATGTCTCTTGGCAACAGGTGATGTTGTGTATATGGATAATGAGCAGAGTTTGGCGGAGTATGTCTTATCCCAGGATGGAATCATCTTTCGAGGCAGCTCCAGCCATCCCACACGTACTCCCTGGAACTTTGGCCAGGTACCAACAGAGGCATTGATGTTGTCAGTCACTTTATCATATGCACATAGCCAAGGAGGCAAGCATGTCTGAGTGCTTTGGAGCATTCTATTACAGGAGCATATCCTCTTATCAAGTGATTTGTGATGTGTTACTTACAGTCATGGCCAAAAAAAACTGGCAGCCCCATATTTCTGTCAGATAACGCACATTGTCAAGAAGTTTACAGCCCATGGCACCATAGCTAATCTCCCTGGATGTGGACCAAAGAGAAGAATAGATGGCGGCTTGTTTGAATGGTGGATAAAGAACCTTGATTAATTTCCAAACAAATTCACTATCTGAATGACAAGGGACACTCTGGTAGGAGACCCAGGGGGCCCCACTGCTGACCCAGAAACATAAAAAAGCCAGATTGGAGTTTGTCAAAATTTACCTGAGGAAGCCACAATCCTCCTGGGAGAATGTCCTCTGAACAGATGACTAAAATAGAGCTTTTTGGTTGAGCACATCATTCTACTGTTTTCAGAAAATGAAATGAACGGAACACTAAAAGAACATGGTCCCTACAGTCAAACATGGTGGAGGTTCACTGATGCATTGCTACGTCAGGCTCTGGATGTCTTGACTGTATGTGTGTGGCATTATGAAATCTGAAGACTAATAATTCTGTCCAGTCCATTTTTGGAGTTCTGTGCAAACTGTATCAGATTTGGCTTCTTTGTGTTGTTCCAATGCAAACAAATGAAATAAACATGAGAATACCAAAGAATCAGTGACTGCAGCAATTTTCTGGGAGAAGTGGTGCCTTATCTGACAGAAATGCAGGGGTTGCTAATATCTTTGGCCATGACTGTAGCTGAAAACATGCAGTCATTACTGAACACTGAAATGACCAGATGTTTATATTCAACAGTAGACAGTCTCATTCTGATAAAGAGACAGGAGCAATGCCAGATACAGTTATAATGGCATTAGCAGCGCATTACCTATGAAGCTAGTCAGAAATAAACATCTAGAGTAATTTGCAGTGTGTGCAGTGTGCTGTTTTTTTTTAAAACCTTGGCTCTCATTGTAATTATTTTACCACCTCTATATATTTATCACTTGGTACTAACATTTATTTGTTTTTTTTATAGTTTGAAAGTGGAATCCTTGATATCTGTTTGAGGATTCTAGATATGAATCCTAAATGTTTGAGGAATCCTGGCAAAGACTGCTCAGGGAGGAGAAATCCCATATATGTGTCCAGAGTGCTGAGTGCCATGGTAAGTCATATTAGTCTCTGATATTTTATTAACTTTTCTGCTTAGAAACATACTGTTTCCATGTTTATGTGCACGTTATCAAAGTAATTTCTTTAAACTTGACATAGAAATCTTGTATTTTAAGTGTAAAATTTTTGTTTTACATCCTTTCCTTTGCATATTAGGTGAATTGTAATGATGACAAAGGGGTGTTGGCGGGAAAATGGACAGGAGGCTATGAAGGAGGTGTGAGCCCCATGTTTTGGAGGGGCAGTGTGGAGATTCTACGCAATTGGAACACACAAGCCTGTCAGCCTGTTCGTTACGGACAGTGCTGGGTGTTTGCTGCAGTGGCCTGTTCAAGTAAGATAGGACAGAGCAGAGCTCAGTAGCATATCACTGGAAAGCACACTGACTTGTCTCAGATAAACCTGACATACAGCAATGCCATATACTGTATGACAGCACACAGTTATGATACAGATTCTGCTCCCCCCTCATCTTATCATAATACTCATGTAAGTTATTTTCATACTTGGACAGTTTCCAGAGCCCTTGGCATTCCCTGTAGGGTTGTCACCAACTACTGGTCAGCCCATGACAACAACAGCAACCTGGTGATTGAACGCTATGTCAATGAACATGGAGACCCCATTCAGGGAGAAATGATCTGGTAATTACTCATATATTTTTATGTGTAAAACTACAGCAGGAGGCAAGGTTGTGTTGTATCAGTGTACATGGGGTGTAGTAACAGTATGTGTTCTGAAGAATAAAGGTTTGTGTGAACTCTTTGAAAGTGAAAGTAAGAAACTTTGAAGGCTATTTAATGTGTAAATGTTTTCTTTTCTCCTCTGAAATGTCCCATAGAAATAAAATGCCTGCAAACCAAAATACCATATTTACTCAATGTGGGGACATCAGTATGTTAATTTCTGTGCTATACCTAAATATGATTAAATAAATAAATTGTGGGTGATTTCTTAAGGAATAAACGAAGCAGTGTCTAATCAGATGCGGTTCCCATGAGATTATAACATCCCCCTGATTCACTTGGCTACGATTCGGCCATACAGTTTGTAATAGAAATCATTTTTATACTAATTCTGACAACAGTTTTGGTAATGTCATCAGAACAATCCAGCTGTGAGAGTTTATTACTAGTGTACCAAAAGAGAAATTGTATCATATGTAGGATTCAATGTGATGGTGCTTGTTGTACTGTACTGTATATGTAGGAACTACCACTGCTGGGTGGAGAGCTGGATGACCAGGCCTGACCTTAAACCTGACTTTAATGGCTGGCAGACCAGCGACCCTACGCCTCAGGAAAAAAGTGAAGGTAACAAACACTCTGCACCAATGAGCCCAGGATGCTGTTGTTATTTAGGGGAATGCCTCACCAAGGTGGATCTGTCATCTCCATTTTGCCTTTTTCCCTCAGGAGTGTACTGCTGTGGCCCCATCCCTGTCAGGGCCGTCAAAGAGGGTGAGCTCATGTGCAACTATGACGCTGCATTTGTCTTTGCGGAGGTCAATGCTGATGTCAACACCTTCATGAAGAAAAACGATGGCAGCATAGCAAAAATCACTTATACTGCAGTGGTAGGTCAAAATATCAGCACCAAGGGGGTGGGCAGTGACACCAGAGAGGACATCACTCATCTCTACAAGTACCCTGAAGGTAAAGAGGACTATGCTCTGAAACATGTATTTTCCAAAATGTTCTTTTAACTCTTTACAAACGTCCTCTGCATGCCCGTAGGTCACACCACGGTCACATGATGTATACATTCCTACATTGCTTATCAGCATTTGTGGTATTCTTAAGGTACATAAAGCCAGCTCTTAACTGCCTTTGCTTAAGAAGCTCAGCTTCATGCCTTTTACTCATATTTGACCATTTATCATATTAAATATTCTCTAGAAGTCAATTATCCTGGGTGGCAAAAGTTAGGACTGCTAAATTTGAGATGTCTGTTACTGAGCATGTAAATTTGTTGCATCCATATTATTAGGTTCTGATGAAGAGCGGGAGGCTTTCAAGAAGGCCAACCACCAGAACAAGCTGCTCCGGCAGCAGCCGAGTCCAGGCCTGCACCTCGCCATCAAGGTGACATCAGACATGAGGAAGGGCTGCGACTTCGACGTGTTTGCTGTGGTTACTAACAACACAAAAAGCAATAAGAAGTGCCGCCTGGTTTTTGGATCCTGCGCTGTGTCCTACACCGGGCATGTGGGAGAGAACTGTGGCTTTAAAGATCTGCTCAATGTTGAGCTCTCACCAGGCGCAGGTGAGCCAAGCATGCTGTTTACATGTGAATGCTTTAAACACTTGGCTTAAACACTTGTCCTACTGTAAATATATTGTGTGTGTTCTTCTAGAGAGGAAGGTTCCGCTGCGGTTGAACTACTCCAAGTACGGTGGCTTGCTCACTGAGGACAACTTAATTCGTCTGGCAGCTGTTTTGATCGACTACACCACCAAAGAGTCAGTGCTGGTGGTAAGGAACATTGTGCTGGAGAATCCTGAAATCAAAGTCAGGGTAAGTACAATAACCTGCAACCAGAGACATGGATAACAGCATTCAGAATCAATTCAGGACTTGAAAATTGATTACAAATGATAATGTGGAGGGAAAACCAGCCGGTTAATCAATAAAACTATGTTAAGAGCCAAGTCTCACAATGATGTGAAAAGCCTAGTATCAGTCATACAGTACCATACAATTAGAAGCTCTACCAGACTACAGGTAGTGGTCAGGCATACTGTACTGGAACCACAACACCTGTTCCCACCATACTGTTTGCATTAAAAAAAAGGCTTGGTCCATGTAAAATTGTATTGTAGCTACTGTGAAATGCTGATGAACTAACATCTGGATGTGACTGTGCTCTGCAGATCCTAGGTGAACCAAAGATGAATCGGAAGCTGGCTGCAGAGATCACCCTCAAAAATCCGCTGCCAGAGCCGCTGGAGAACTGTTGCTTCAGCATCGAGGGGTCCAACCTCACTGGAGGATGCATCATCTCTGAAAGGTGAGTGCCTAATCATTCAACTTAAAAGTGACCAGTCATGGATGAAAAACTGTAACATAACCTCAGCATTCTCCCTTATAGACATAAACATGCACACAGACCTTTGGCGGAACACTTCAGGAGAATAATGTTCCTTGTTTTACTATTTAAATATAGTTTCTTTAGGATAAAGATGCAGCAAACATGCAAACATGCAAAATGCGTGATGGTGTGTGACGTGTTTCTGCTTGATCTTGTAAACTCTCTGATTTTATTTGTATAATTTGATTTCATTCAGTGAGTAAAGTAAGGAATAACCAATTAATCTATTGCATGAATGATGAGGTGTCTGCATGCTACATTTTCATGGTCAGTGCTTTTGTTTGGTTAAAGCTCTGGTTTGTTTAAAAAAAAGAATGAACAGTTATTGAAGCAGATTTCTTTTGGTATCCTTCACTTTTCTGCTGAGCAAACACTGCAGCTCCATCTGCATTGTCTCCATAGATAGTCATAACTGTCAGTGGTAATTTATTAGATAATCTAAATATTTCTGAAATCACAGAAGGGTGATAAATTAATATCTAAATGTTTACCTTACAGTCTTGGCTCCTCAGTGGCACCTGGGGAAGATGCCAAAGTGAAAATTTACTTCACTCCTACTCATTCAGGGCTAAGGAAACTGGTGGTCGACTTCAACAGCAGCACGCTGTGTCATGTCAAAGGCTACAGAAATGTCATAATTGGAAAATAGAGCTTTCCAGTCCAGCAGTTTTAATGCTCTTTATCTTTTTTAGAACTGTTATTTTCAACCATTTAAAGATTAGCAAAAGTAGTGATTAATACACCGTAGCCCAGAATACACTGTCCAAATACTCTGTAATCACATTTTATATTACTAATTTTTACTTGTAACTTTTATACTTTCAAATGCAAGAAATAAAACTGTTGTTACACTCGTCCTTTTTGTGATAATGTTTGGTCTAGTCAGACAGTTTGCACCTTTTGCACATTGAAACGAGGGTAAACATCTGGCTTTGTGAACTTGTTTTTAATTTGTTGTGAATATGTGATAGATTGATCAGGTTAAATATCCATGAATACACTGTTTACCAAAATTATGAAGTTAGACGGCATTGATGTGTGTAACCCTGCAAACATTCAATTCAATAATTTATTGTCACTTTCATCATACACCTTTAGTATATATGGAAGTGAGATATCGTTCTCCCTTCATCATAATGCTCAAGACACATCATTCACACTCTATAACAGTCACTCTTTTAAGACAAAGCAGAACAAGCCACACATTAAAAATACAGTGACAAACACAGCAAAACAATCCTAAAAACACAATGAGTAATTGAAAACACATGACAAATTAAAAGTCCAAAGCAGAATGGATATGGCGCAAAACATGCTAGATATATTTTATAAAGTGCAGATCTAAAAACCCTGTTAGGCAATTAGAATAAGTGCATGTGCATTTCTTCATCTCCTTCAAGCCCTGGTGCTAACCAAAGGAATGGAGGACAGCTTATGCTGTCAATTCATTTCCCTGATGGTGAAGAAACTGTTGCATAGCCTGGATGACCTACGTAGTTCGAATGCTCTGAAGTCTCCTACCAGAGGGCAGGAGCACAAAGAGGTTGTGAGATGGATGAGAGAGGTCCATCATGATATTTATTACTTTTCTAGCACATTGCTCTTTGTAAATGTCTGCTAGTGCAGAGAGAAAGGTGCCAATGATCTTTTCTGCTGCTCTCACTACTCTCTGCAGGGATTTTCTGTCTGCAGCAGTGCAGCTGTCGTACCAGACAGTGATGCAGTATGTCAGGATGCTTCCTATTGTCCCTTTGTAGAAAGTTGTCATAACCTGTGGAGGGGATTTGGACTTTTTCAGGCTCCGCAGGAAGTGAAGGCGCTGCTGGGCTTTCTTGACGAGCGCAGTGGTGTTGATGGACCAGGTGGTGTCATCAGCAATGTGCACCTCAAGGAACTTTGTGCTGTTAACCCTCTCAACAACAGTTCCATTGATGGTCAGAGGTGGGTGTTCACCGCTGCCTCTCCTGAAGTCCAAGACCATCTCCTTGGTTTTCTCCACTTTTAAGGAGAGATTGTTGTTATCACACCACCTGGCCAGCTGCTCAACCTCTTTTCTGTACAGTGTTGGTAAAAAGACTCACTACTGTAGTATATCATCTGCAAATTTAATGATATGATTGGAGCTGAACCTGGCAGTGCAGTCATGTGTCATCAGCCTGAAGAGGAGTGGGCTGAGCACACAGCCCTGAAGGGAGCCTGTGCTCAGTGTGATGTTACTAGAAGTTCTCTTTCCTATTCTCACTGACTGTGGTCTGCCTGTGAGAAAGTCCAGGATCCAGTTGCAGAGAGGTGTGCTCAGCTTCTCTAGAAGTTGTTGTGGAATAATTGTGTTGAATGCAGAGCTGAAGTCAATGAAAAGCATCCTGACATATGCGTTCTAGATGTGTTAGGGCAATGTGTAGTGTAGTGGAAACTTCAGTACGAAGATACTGTACTCATTTTACATAGATTTGCATATAAAGGTTTACTATATGTCCCCTTGTACTTTAGACACATCACATTATTAACTATGTCTCAACAGCTCATGCGATGCAAAGCTTCATTTTTAAAAGCATAGTAAACAAACTCACCTGTGCTGTATAAATCCTTTGTACACTAATTATAGTCAGTGAAGAAGAACCTAAAATAATTCCTGTACTATTATTTGTATTGTTAGCTTTCTGTCAAGTAAATCTATAAACATTAGCCGTGTTTATTTCTATACCCCATGCTCCCCTATTTTTCCTCACTTTTACTTGTCTACTTGTGTCCCTTGTCATTGACCTCTGTGGTCCCTGTAGTGGTTTTAAAGTCCAAACAGCAAAAATGAAATCATAATACTCATTCTTGTCTGACTGCCTGTTGCAGCCACTGCTCCATTCAGGAGCACAGAACCATATATCTGCAGCTGAGTACAGTGCAGTACAGTGCTGCAGAGGGTTCTGACCTTTGGCAGTAATAGCGGCACAGCTGCTGGTGTTGTGATTGTCCCACGGGTGTTAATGAATTTCAAGGAAACATGCACTGAAAGCACAGTAAAGTAAATGCATGCATTTTACACCATGTGCCATTTCTATTGGCCAAAACAAAACACCAGCTTTCTGTAAAAGGTTGTTTTGCCTTCCCTATTGCTATACATCCAGTGTTTGTGTCTGACATACAGTAACTGAAGGTTAGGGGAATTGCTGCTCTCTGCTGGTTGGAAACAGTAATTCCAAGGATTGAAAATAACGTTTTTGAACAGGATGTGTGGGAGTAGACGACAATATATCTGTACAATTGTCCAATGTTGGTATTGTTGTCAAAACTGAATTAGCTAATTTCTTAACATTCTGTAGTAATTTAAAGGCAATTTCTGCTTTGAACAGCTTTTGGTAGGTGTGTAGAATATGTCCCTGTCCTCCCAACCACAATGCAATTCAAATAAATGATACGCAAGGATTGCCAAACCAGATACTGTATTTTCTGCTACCTTCCCAGAAATTCCCTCCACCAACAATATGTAGAAGCTTCCAATACATGTACACATTAACTATATATAAGATGATAAACAGAGAGATCTGACTATTAGACATTATGCTGCACCAAAATATATATATTATATGTAGTACATAAAAACACAATCATGAAAAGAAGCCCAAAGGCATTTGAAATGGTTGTATTTTTCAGAACAGATACCAAACAGTAGTACTTAGAGCAAACACAGTTAAGAGGAAAACGTAATGCAGAAATGACAAACTTAAAACATTTAGACAAAAAGTTATATTGTGTTTGAGAAAATTATGACAGTTGTTTGGCAAGATAAGAATACTGTTTGCGTTACTTGCCTTGTTTGGTTAAGTAGCACAGAGTAAACTGTTTCAGTGATAATAATAAAAGTCTACAGTGCTGGGTGTGACTATACACATGAATTAATATATTATCTTGACATGATGAAGAATGAAGATACACTTATATTTTGATAAACATTGCAGTCATAATGTAGTAAGCAAAGTACATAGAGTTTTCTCTTAAAGTGTTAAACAAAGATTACAGAAATTAAAGCAATGCACTTTTCAGATAAACACAAAAAAAGCTTAATTTGTTCTTTATCCCTTGGAAAGCATTTACACTGAAATACTGCAGCTTTTGGCGTACTGTATGTTTTAGGTAAAAGACTGAACATTGGCACATTGCAAAAGGACAGGGTCTGTTCTGTGCAGTAGGAAAAAGCACAGGCAAATAACAAAGCAGCAAAAAGAACATAATCATACATACTTTCAATAAAGTTGTGCCCTTTATTGGCATTCAACAGTGTTGGCATCCAAACAACTATAATAAAGAACCATGAACACAAAGGGTCCAGTTATGACTGACACCTCAGCTCTGCAATGACGTATGTGTCGATGACCGTCCCTTGTCACAGATAAGTCACGAACATGTAGACCGGATGGGCAGCCCGCCCGCTCTAAGACACACAGCTTGTGTTACAGTCAGTGCTGCTGCTGGCTGATCTCCTCTTCAGTTCCCTGCCCTCTGTCTGGTGGTGACGGTGTGGGTGGTTCCCCTGCAGCTGGCGCCCTGGCTCCTGCAGCTGAACATCATCCAACCCCTGACTCCTCTCAGACTTCACCTGGAGGTAGGCCCGAACACGATGGTGCTGAGCCACGGTGCCGCTGAAGTCAATGACACGACACTCATATGTGCCCTCATCTGATGGCTTGACGCTGGAGAGACGGAGCTTGTGGGAGATGTTGCTGCCAGCCACTTTTACCACCTTATGGGAACAAATGATGGTGTAGTCTTATATATGGCAGACATAAAATATGTCCTACATTTTTTAATACTTTTAAGAGTTAATAAAGCACCAATTCCTGAATGCAAACGGATCATTTAAAGGCCTGGATATCATATGTATTTTCATAAAACATTCAGTTTTCTTTGACATTGACTTTGCTATAGTAGACAGCTGATGTGAGATCAGACTCACACTAATTTTGGTGGCATCTTTGGATGTCTCCTCCAGGGGTACAGCCTGCACAGAAGTCAGGATGATGCATTAGCAACAAAAAGCTGAACTCTTCTATTTGAAAAAAAAAAAACATCAACAAAAAAAACACGTCAAACTGATGGCAACGTCAGATAGCAGCAAAATGAACATTTGATGTTTTCAAAGTGGGTTGTTATTTTTAGCAAATCATATCTTCCTTGGATTGCTGCTTCTGTTGTAGATATTTATTTCATGTGTGTATGACCGTGCTCATATGTGCATGTTTAAATATATGTGTATGAGTCCATAAACGACAGCACCGAGCACGTAAGCCTCAATGCAGGAGTGTGTGTGTGTGTGCGTATGCGGAGGCACAGAGGTATTCTTTTGGGCATAGGTATGAATTATGCATGGAGCAGACAGAGATTTTGAAAATCTATTTCTTTCTCAGTGCCAATTACAGTGTCTAGAGGCACAACAGGGGAGCCTGAGTTCTCCCATGATGGGAGAGAGTCAGCCTGTTCGCCCATTGCTGGCAAATGCTAATCAGCAATTATCCCTTTGTTTTGGTGCCAGAGGGTTTCTGCTGTGGTTAATATTGCATCTCCCTCTCCATGATATACAGTACTGTAAGCTTTAGGGTCATTCCGAGCAATCCTGTCTAAATAAACTAAAATGCAAAAACTGAAAAAGTGAAACTAAAATGGGCTGTGTAAATCCATTTTAAAAATAAAGGTTTAACCTTGAAGAGAGAAACATGGGTTGCTGAGTAAAATTACCAGTAAAAAGCCCTTCCCGATGTCACCTATGAGAAAATAGCTCTGTCGTAATAGGCCGCTTTAAAGCGCTAACCACAACATCTCAATGGTAACAAAATGGAGTTCCATTTTGTTTTCTATTGCCCTTTTTATTTGACTGGGAACCATGTATATTGTTTGTAAGAAAAAAAAGATTTTTTAAAACAGTAATACTGCACAAACGCTGCATGTATCCCTGGCAACTGCAAAAGAACTCCTTATTGGCAATCACTGCACAAATACATTCAACAAAATACAACATTAACTATCTGTTTCCCATTACAGCTTACATTATTAGTGATCTGGGCAGGTTTCTCTTGCCAATCTCTGTGGCCTTTGATGTACCACCACTGGATCTCCAGGGCAAAGGAGGTAGAGCCCACCCCACGGAATGAACAAGCCATCTCTACATCCTCACCGCTCTGTGTCGTGATGTCATGTGGTATCTCTGTGAAAAGAGCTGCAAGAGAAATAAACAAGGAGCTGAGGAAAATGATGGGGTTAAGACATCCCCTAAATGACAGAGGAAAACCCTGGGTTCCATTTATCAGAGAGCAGCTGCTGACAAAACAGAATATAAACTGAACTGTGAGGGTGTTAAAACATTATATAATCCTATTGTATAGCTGCTTGAGCTGAACATTGTTCAGATGCTAATTTCACTGTCATTGCACTTTAGTCCCACACAGAAGACCAACCACCTACACAGAGAGCATCCATTTCTCTGTGCTGGCTTTCAGCAATGGGCAATAAGTCAACATCATGGCACATTCTCAATCACATATCACCTGAAACCTGTGTAGCTGTGTAATTCATCAAGTCAAAAGAAGCTCAGACAAAACAGAAACATCAACTGACCAAAATCCTCCCGATCTACAATCTCACATGCAGCTATCTTAAACACAAACTGTAAAAATTCTATATTAATTCTGTGTTCTAGTGCCAATGTAAAATGACTACTGCAGAACTCAGATCAGATCAATATGAATCACTTCACATGAAATAAAAATATATGCATTGACATTATTACAATAATTCAAAATCACTAATAGAAGCATATAAGCCAGAGATAACATGAAATTAAACTTTATGATGGCATTACACTTCTGTACAATTAAATTCCTAAACATAGAATCAATTCAAAACAACATGTAGAGGTTAAAAATCATGAAATGTAATGTCACCTACCGAGTACACAGTTCTTTCTCATTTTGCTTTAAGATCCTCTTTCTCAGTCTCACTAAGTGCACTGGTTTTATATGAGCACATTAAAGAAAACAGTTGTTTAGTGTACAGCACAAACAAGTTGTTTGTGCTGTACACTAAACAACGCAGCTATTGTTCAATTTTTTTGCTCTATTTTAAATAAATCTATTTTTCTGCCAGAATTCAGGTTAATTAAAACACTGTAACAAAATCAAAATAGTAAAATTGTGGGGCACAAAATGAAAACAGTGGGGGGAAGACAATAAATAAATAAACAAAATGAAAACAGTGGGGGGAAGACAATAAATAAATAATCAAAATGAAAACAGTGGGGGGAAGACAATAAATAAATAAACAAACAGACAAATACATAAATTCTCCACTGAGCTAGAGGGAAACTGCAGAATCAATGGTAATGGGTTCGACACCTTTTACACATATGCAATCATCTGATTCACCGTAAACATAAAAATATCGATTACTCTAGCACTAGCTGTTAAACTGATATGTGAGACTAGAAATAGTTTTTCAAGATAAATGTCAACTACTCTAACTGCAATAATGTTGTTTTCCATCAACAACATACTGTTTATATTAACAAACTGAATGAAAGGATACTGTTTTATCAAGATGCACCCATCGCAACGTCAGCAACAATTTTCAAAATATGTCTTATACGTCTTAATTGTATCTATTCCATGAATTTGTATCCAAGTATTTGACTTGATGCTCTCAAATCCCCCAAACACAGAAAAGCACCCATCCTTAAAACCCATTATATGCTCACACTGAAACAAAAAACACTACAACACTAATAAAAATGCACACATTCACTGCCTGGCCTAAAATTTGAAATTTGGGACCACCTCTTTAGTAAAACAGTAGGACCCACTGTCATGCATGAAATGTGCTAACAGAGGAAGCTGTCTGTTCTCTCTACAGGTAATATTCTACCTCTCGAAATAATAATAATCCCCTGAGAGAAATCCTGCAACTGACAGGTGGACGGAGAATCTTCAGAACAGGTGAGCAAAGCGAGACAGTCATTGTATATGCAACTGACATTTAGTTGGTCTTTTGCGAAGCTGATCCAGGGAGGAACACTGAAAAGGAAGAAATAAGGCTGAGAATAGAGGAACGGTGGAGAGACTGACTGGGCCCTCAGGGGTCGTGCCCTTGATGCACCACTGCTTGTGGCCCTCATTTGTCAGGAGGAGACTTACTGTACTGTAGGGATGGAGTCATACAAGGGCCAGGAAGGGTAGAGGAAGAAGAAGGAGAGGGATAGAGAGACAGGAAGAATGAGGGTAGAGGTGATCTGAGGCGAGTGTGGTGAGAGGAGAGGGCTGAGAAAGATGAAAAAGTAAAGAAAAGAGATAGGAAGGCTGAGAGAGGAGCTGAAAAGCGGGGTGACAAAATGCACATATACCTGTGCACTGCACACACGGTGATAAGATGGAAATAGAACCTTTACAAAAACTGCTAATAAAAGAATGACATATGGAAAGGTACGCAGCATTTAAACGTGTCTACTCATACCCAGATATCTTTCTGCTGCATTAAAGGAAAATATAATTCATCAAATATATTCATCTTGCCATCTTTTGTTATATGCCATATAAGCCAAAGAAGAAAGTGAGAGGGAAAGCTGGCCACATCAACACAGTGCAGAAGATGAAATTTATAATTAGTTCATTGAATTGAGTTGAATCATCTGAATGTGCTAAACAGTGATGGCATGTTACAAGTACCTGTATGTTTTACTATGGCTTTCTGTTGGATTCTTCCTCTGTGACTGACTGATTTTAAACTGTCAAACTACAATACAGTAAAAAACAGAAGGACAGGCAGATAACCAGTTAGTGATGTTGACAGCAGGTTTTCAGAGTACTATTTCTGATTTCTGTGCAGCTCTGTGAAAATAAAAGGATTCTTTGTGATTCTGCAGCACAGCAGGGTCCTTTTTTCTGGGACAGTTTCCTGGAGCGCCAACTATTCCTTCAGTGTCACTGTAGACTATAATCACAGCTGGCATAATGATTCACTTTCGTCTGATGATGCAGGTCTTTTCTAATGACAGTAACAAAACAATCTAGTCTGAACCGAGCAACTGCCCCAGAGATTCAGAAATAACATCTGAGGGAAAGTTTGGATAATGATTATAAAGTTAAGGAATACTTTAATTTAACCAGACCTGTAACCTTTGAAAAATATACCAGAAGATCTCACAGTAGCGAGTAAACCGCCTAAAGGTTCAGAGAATATACAGTTTGCAGCCTACAATGGATGCATTATAAAATTTAAAACGTTACACAGCAGAACTTCGCTCAGCAAACCTGCTCAAACTGCGAAACAATGAAATGCACAGATGTCCCGCCCTCCTTTGGCACCAAATCATCATTTGCCAGTCACCTGTCAATCAAATGAGTTACGCTGCTGTCACGTCAGTTACGTAGGCCGTCAGTGATATTAGCAACTCTTTTGAACAATGTTGCGTTAAGATTTAAAAGTCTTCACTCAAAACTATAAACATGTAACGTCAGTGTACAAGAAACAAGAGGTACACTGCCTTGAATTCAGTTAGTTGTGCTGTGGCTTGGAGCATGTTAGGCTACATGTCAGTTAAGTAAGTAACTGCGCCAAATTCGCTTACTGGCGTCATAAGGAGTGTCTTGCTGCACTATTTCTAAGCGGGGTTGTGGATGTTTATTTGCAATGCACATGGAGCTCATGATATCCTCGGAATGTGTAACACAAAATGTTTAACATATGTTTTAATCAGATGGTGGGAGTCGGGCACCAAGGGGCTTTAAGTTGCCTACCTTAATTGCCTCCATTGTTGTTTGTGTTGATAAGGTCCTAGAGCTGCAATAACCATCTTCCCACTGTTTTTACAACACCTACAGTACATGCAATCTATAAAATAAGGTTTAGATATGTGAAAGGAGGGGCATATGAACTTTGCAATCTGATGTGATGACTGATTATGTTTATGTTTTTCATACAGAATGTGCTGGATATTAATATTTGATAACTGCTTTGGTTTGGAGTTCTGATACAATATGTGTAACTAGTAGCCTAATATAAAACAGGAGTAGCTCTCAGCTGCTTTCATTTTTTCAAAGTAGCTTGCCAAGTAAAAAAAGCTGGACCCTGGTCCACACTGTAATTGTGAAGCAGCCAATTATTTCTAGAAATCTAAATCAGCACTTGGTGACAGAAGAGATAAATGTCTCTCAATCAAGGGATTACCACAAATTCCTTTTCACTATAATAGGACCAAGAAAGAAAATTGAAGAAAATATCCTGAAGGGAGCAAGGTTGTGTCTTAATTATTTGTGAGAAAAGACGTTTTCTTTGTGGTATTCGTTCTGTATCAGTATTATCTTCATTTTGGAAAAGGCACTTTAAAAGGTGACGGATGAATTAAAAACTACTTTAAGTTTTTATTCAGTCTTCCTCTTAATTTCTTTATCTCCTTGTTTACATCAGACTATTCAGAAGTGCACTTCTTGCAGGTGCCTGATGAAGAGCACAGAGAGTGTGACAAGCCTTATCATAATGTCTCAGAATACTGTCGTTTGAACATATGGTGGCCAGGACTGTAGGCAGGAATAACGGAGAACTTCACTGTGAATAAAGTATATGAGAAAAACACTAGAGGGTGGCATTTCAATCATCTGTGTTTTCTTAGCTTTCGATGTAGGTGCTAGCACTTTTTGTGCTCTGCAGGAGCCAGCGGCAGAGCACAGGCAGCAGCATCTGTCAGTGAGAACAGGCTGTGTTCCTGCAGACAAAATGTATGTTTGTGGGACTCAAAGTAAAAATCATATATAAAAATATATGACCAAACCCAAAAAAGAGAATTGTTTAAGCAGCATTTTAGTTATCTACTCTAAAATACCAGTAGTAACCTAATCCAGTGCTACATCCACGGCAGGGGTAGCCTATTTCATACTTCATTTCTTGTAAAGTTTACATTCAGGCAGCCAGGTTGCTGTCCTTAGATACAGTAGCATGAAATGATGTGATATGGCAAGATATTAAACAACAGGCTGCAGTGTTTTGCTTTTGAACATTTGTGTGCTGAGCAGCTAACTAGGGTTAAGTTAAAATGAAATGAGAGTCTGTGACCTGTTAAGTCTATTAGCCCAAACATCAAGTGCATGTTAGGGCTGTACCGAATGGCAGTTTTTGGGCTCTGGATATTCGGTGGTAATCATCAGCGAATATTGGCCAGCAGGGGGCGCAGGGTGATGGGCTGACATTGTGCTGCAGTTAAAAGTACCTCTTTGCCCGTCTGGCAGTGCTTTCGGTTAAAAAAACGAAGTTATGTAATATTTTATGTAACAGATGAACAGGTGATGGATCTTCATAACCATTTGCTTGTACATAGAATGTTCTACAATTCCATCAATGATTTGAGACTGACTGATAGTTTTACCTCAGTTTTTCCATTTTGTCCTGTCATCAGTTTAATTCATGGAGTTAAGGTTAGTTAGGGACAGCTGATATGACTCCGCAGGTTGTCATTTTAACCAGAAACAGTGACAATCAGCAGAAAGTGCTATCTGAATGAATTCCACACTGAACTTTGCTGACAAGACTACACAAGCGGCGTTGAAAGGCGACTACCAACCCAGTGAACGAATATTCAGATATTCAGGTCCAGCCCTAGTGCATATTTAAAGCGTTTGCCAGCTATGAATTTTTTGGTCATCAAGAACTGACAAATAATCTTGAGTGGTACATCTGTTTTAGAAGGGGAGACTGGGAGACTGGTAACTAAAGGTAACAGGGTTTAGTGAAATACCAATTTTTTGTGGTAGTCAACCTACAAGTAAATATTTTAAACATCATCTCTTTTTAAAATGATTTGTAAGATTATGATACTTGTCTTTTCATATCAGAAATAAATTCTCATGTCTTTGTCTTTGTGTTACAGACTTAAGTAACTAATCAACACCAAATTTAATAGTGATTTCACACTATTTTGTCTTTGCAAATGTTTTCTAAAGATTAACCTTCAGTGCCTTTCCAATTATATACCTACAGGCCGTTTCTACAACCTATAATCAAAGTAAAGTATACAGGAGAAGTGGTGAAGAAATAATGAAGCCAGCTAATTCTCCATGGCTATTTGAAGCCAGCGTGTGAAGTCAAAGTCAAGTCAAGGAGACAGCTACCCTGGGAGTGCTCAAATACACTCAGGAGCCCCGAGGTAGCAGGACAGGCTTATAGCTGCAAGGTAATTCCTACACTTTTCCATTTCCGCAGCCAGCCCCGATTCTACAATTGCAAGATTTTTCTCAATTTTCCACCTCTATCTTTCTCTTGTTTAAATCATTTCTTAGCTCTTTCTCCTGCTGGCTCTCACTCCAGCTCAGCAGCAATCCCCACAAATCTCCCCCCTATTGTTGTTGAAAACGCCCTGTTTTGACACTCTCTCCTTTTTCTATTGCAATTTCATTCTTACTTTCCACCTATTAGGGATTTCTGCTACCTCTTTTTCCCCAATACTTTTACTGTCCATTCTGCTTTTAATTCAGCTCCGCTCCTTCCTCTCTCCTCCTTCGCTCTGCCTCACTCGCTGAGTGGGCAGTACGTGTCTGTTGGCTCTCTGGTGCCTAACATAAAGAGATGCTTCCAGCACTCTCAAAGTAGCTCACTACATCTCCTGGAGCTTTGCCCACTGGTGCTGGCAGGTGTTCAGCATCCTCAGAGACTCACCCTGTGTGTGTGTGTGTGTGTGTGTGTGTGTCTCACCGTGTGCGGTGCCCTGTGGCATGTATTCAGCATATAGTGCTATAAATATGTAAATGTAGCTGATGTGAAATGTGTAACATTTTCCTGTCACAAACGTACTGTAATGAATACACAAGGTGTCCCTATAAGTAGTGGAAGCAGAAAAGAACCAGTTATCATCCTGCCAAACACATACTGTATATTTCACCATCTAACACACAACTTAGTATCTTCTAACTAAAGCACAGAGAATTGCACAAACTCACAAAAGATCCAAGGACAAAATAAAAACTCTTCCCCCCACAGATGGAAGGGGAGGACAGAAAAATAAAAATACATTTATAGAAGTCTCACCACAACATGAGCTGGAAGCATTATTAAAATGATACAGTAAATATGCCAACTCTGCCTTTCTTTCATTACACAGGTGACATAGTATTATTATTCTTATGCTCCATCCATTGTATAATTGTTTCACTGATTTGTTTTTGCCATGAATGACTAACAGCATCATTAGCAGGGTCAAGAATAAAAGCCACGTGAATATAGGAGTCAAAAGACATTTACAATATGCAAAATCGACAGCTAAAACACAAATAATTCCACAGTTGCTCCAATATTAGTAACATTTGCTAGTGTCCCAAATAAAATGTGTGACCGTGCAAGAGGAAACTAGCCACAGCATTAGCCACAACCATAATCCAAAATGATTTCATTTATAAAAAGGTTTGTAAATGACTAAGAGCCTTGTTGCAGGTGGAAACATCTGAATAGATCATAAGGTGAACAGCAGTGTACAAACATCTTAGATTATTATACTGAACACTAATGTACACTGTTTAACAATGTTTTAAACATGAGAAGAGGTGCAAACTCTTACATCAGCCCCTATACTACATTCAGCGAGTATTTTAAAGAACCCTATGGCCTGGACTCTGTGCTTGTACTGTACATAGAGCTACAATGTGCTTCCTTCAATTCCTCTTTTCACTAATGGATATTCTTCACTTGACTGTTGAAGAGCTCTGTTAAGATCCTTTTATGGAACTCTGACATATTGACAGTGGAACTTCCTGTCACTTTCTATGTTGAATGTGCATCGGAGGTTTTTTTTGCTTTTTCTATTCTACTATTCACTTCCTCACTCGCTGCAGACCTTGAGATACAGAGAGAATGAAAAGAACAGATTTTTCAAATGCTGTACAGTTTTATAAGGCTGCCAACAGACAAATAAGCTATTATTTTTGTTCCATTTGTATTAATCAGCAGTTCACTTGCAACTAGTCCAGCTTTATCTCTTCACTCTGTTGTTAAGTAACTATGTGTTGTGGATCCTGTTAAACATCTCAGACTTTTGGGTGCAAGGGAACATAAAATGTAGGTGAAAATACATTTTTATCAAAATAATGAGCATTAATTTCAGTAAGGACAGAAACGGATACATCCATAAGAATGTTTATTGAGACTGATCACAGAAAAGGACTTTAGTGCCCAGATCCCACTGATGTATGCAGCTTTGAAACACGTAGGCAAGTGAAGACAGGAGATAGGAATGATCCCCCGGGATCTAGACCCTGATGGTGGTGGAGAAAGCCACAAGTGGGAAGATGGAACTTCACAGTTAACACGCCTGGTCAGTCCTCCAACCTATGTGACCCATATGGACATTTGTCCCTTCCCTCTCAGTCAATCCTCAGAAGCATCTCCTGAAACAGCACTCCTATGTTGGCAGGCGGAATTGCAAGAGCTCTGCCACCATTAATGACAACATATGACGTACTGGCAAGCATACCAGAACCCTGTTGTCATGGAAACTGTCATAAGCATGGCATTACTATTATGAAACCATCACATTATACTTAGACATACAATCTTCTTGGTAAAGTTTAGGAACACACTACTTGGTTAGGTGAAAAAGACATGTTACACGCTGGGACTGAGCATCACTCACCTGTGTTTTATCTAGCAGCCACCTACCCCTACGCAGACTTTATGGCTCTTTACACTATGTCATGTGATTTCCTCCTTTGGTTGTGCCATAATTACTACGCTGACTAGAAGTCACTAAGCTATAACACGTAACTGTTGGTCATCATAATCCACTGGCACAAATGACATATGGAGTCCTTTTTTTTTACAGGACAGTCTCACAGAATAAGGTGGTGCAGGGGAGGAGGTGCACTGCAAAACTGTAGGTCTGAATGACAGAAACTGTGATATTTAAAGAACAGCCTCAGCAAATTGATTTCCTCCAGAAACACAGGGACAATATAATTTTGTTGTAGAAATCGGCTCCTAAACGTGTCTTGATGTGAAGCGGTGCTGTCGAAGCCTCCTTCAGTGACCCAGACTCATTGAACAGCACTGGCAGCAGTGCAGAGAGATTAGCTTCTAAAAGGTTTTGAGCAGGACTGACCTCTCTAACCAATCAGAGATTTTCAATTATTTCTGTTTGATCTGTGAGTTTTGTTGTTGTTCTCATTTCTTGTAATTTCATAATGACAGATATCTGAAGAGCTGGGCAGAGCGTGACGGAGTGTAGCAGACTGTAGTAGAGCATAGTGGAGCAGGGTGAGGGAGTTTGGAGTTTCATGCTTGTGCTACCTGGAGTTTAATATTGTAGCATTAAGTTTTGTATCAGCCGAGGCAATAAAACTGTGTCCATATGACAGAGTACAAGTAAAATATGCTTCTTAATTTTCTCATTGATTTGATAAAATTGACTGAACTGTGACAGGTTGAAATGTAATTTGAGAGTGAACTTGTTTCTTACTTAATGTTAGATTTTATTTGTATTCATTTTCACCTAAAACATTACTGTAATATAAGAACAGGAACCAGGAAACGGTGATCTGTGTTAAATCATCTGATTCTGAGGACATTAACTATTAGTCTTGGAGTATTTTTGGCTATTTTGGCAAATTTTTAATAGTTTCAGTATTACATGTACCACATCAACATATGTTTAACATACCAATGTTTGTATAATTTTCTTCAGGACAAACTTATTTTACTGACCTGACAATCTGTACACGTTGACATACATCATCAACATGTGTGATCATCAGCTCTTGGGGGCTACAGCGATGATGTGTCTGGTGTAGAGTTAGGTGATATGCCTAATAGCAAATACATACAAAGTGCTAAGATGGATGTTTAGTATAGTAACAATGCTCCACCATTACAAGTGCATTCAAGTGCAAAATAAAAACTTTAGAGATTAACTGTTCATTGTTTATTTTTATCCACAATTGTCTTGAAAGCAAGAGAATTTTATAAAACTACAGTATGACATTACTGAGTAATTCCCTAGCCTTAATCTGCTGATCGGAGGGTCCCTACCAATACCATGTCACAAATGCAAAGATGCTATTAACAGAAACACTCAAAGACCTCCATGCATACATCCTAAATTACGAGCAGCAGCAGCACATCATGCGGTGCCCATACAAATGCCCAGCCTTCGTGCCTCTCCTGTCCTTCCTCCTCTCACCTTTATTGATCTGACAGCGTTGTAAAATTGTCTTTAGTTTGCTACGCAGGCTCCGTCTTCAACCTGCCTGTGAAAGTTGCCTTGTTGACAACGGTCTCCTGATGAGCTCTGTGCCGACACCGGCCCGTCAGGTCTAGTCAGCAGACATCCAACTGTTTCCTGACTTTAATCACAGCATAGCGTCACCAGAAATCAATCCCATAACCTTGGTAGAATGCTAAATCAACACAATAGCCAAGTCCTCTGATAATTTTTCAGAACCCCAAACTGGAAGAGAAAAGAGTGAAAACGTATTTCTGGAGTGAATATTGATTATCAAGGAAAGCTCAAGTACACCAAGTTGTTGTAAAATGTTGTGTAGCTGGCTCAGATGTGTGTTTGCTTGGTTTGACCTTTTCTACAGCAGCACTGTCAGAACCATCTTTCAGCAGAGGCGCGGGGACCCTTGTTTGAAGATGCATAAACAGTACAGCATATGCATTTTTAAAATGGTCCTCATTGGCATTTTCCCCTGTGTTGCGCTATGAGCAACAATAGAAGTGAGGCAAGAAGAACACAGAGGCGGCTACTTACTATCCACCAAAGTCTCATTAAAAATGAAGAAAGCAATGCAGTGGAGGATATATATAAACAAATACATAGTTCAAGCCCAAAACAGACCTCTCTTAAATAATTTCTCACTGGCAAAATGAAAGGGATAAATCCAGCCTGAGTGCCAGTGTGGGGTCAGTCCATTGATCCTCTCGCTCCCTTTCTGCTTTAGTTGGAGCTTGAGCTGTTTGAGGCTGACTAAATTACAGAGGGTTTATTCGTACCGATGAGACGCAAGTGTGACACCCATATCTTAGCTTGTGTGAGCAAGAGAGAGAACGTCAAAGAGGCTCATAGGCTAAGCCTGTCACCGACCCTGCAAGCTGCTGGTTTTCTTTGTCAAATCATTAAATGATAAGGTTTAAGCTATTTTTCTTACAGTCAAGACATGAAAATGCCAAAGTCAATAATGTGTTAGTCCAATGCTCAACTCTCCTCGAGGCAGTTTGTTCCTAGTAAAGACAGTCTTTATTAACAGATCACAAATACATGTAGCAGTTCCACTCTTAAAAAAGCAAATTAATTTCCTTAAACTGCTTGGCACTGACAGTTCTAACAAAGGCTACTCATACAGGAGTAAATAGAACATTTAGTGGGGACTACTCTAGGCCACAGAGTTACACACAGTTGGTGTTTAAGTACCAGAAAGGTGTATGCGAGAGTGTATGAGTCACTTGTGTGTTTTTAATACTTTCTGGATAACAATTAAGATCTTTGGCTGAGAGGAATAAGATAATTCGATTTCAGAATTCTCCTTGTACTTTGCTGAGGAGTGGGGGTCCTAAACTTCACTGCCCATCTGTTTGCTGACTTAAAACAATTGCCCATGCATGCCTTGCTGTTTTTATTGCTTTAAGGACTTCATATTAGGTAAAAACTCTTTTTACCTGCATTCAAATGATTGAATAGTAGTGTGTATTTTTCTTTTCTACTTGTTTTACATGTAACCTTGAGTCACCATTAGTCTGGAAATACAAATAAAGTGCTCTATAAATAAAGTTACAGTTGTTTATGACACTGACACGTTTTGTTCAGCAAGATAATCTCTACAGGTGAATATCACTTTTATGATGTTTGAAGCCCAAATACAATCACAAAAAGCTATTGTTAGACTATAAGTGAACTCAGCGTCACCACTACGGCTTCCATGTTGTAATTTGATTTCTAATGTTTACCTCTTCTGCGAAATCCTTTCCTCTTAGAGTGACCAGATCTAAACTCAGCGTCACCACTACGGCTTCCATATTGTAATTTGATTTCTAATGTTTACGTCTTCTGCGAAATCCTTTCCTCTTAGGGTGACCTGATCTCCTTAGTGATCATGTCTGTGTCAGTTTGAATGGTTTGCAAGCGCGTGAGTATAAACATAACAAAGCTGTAAAGTTTAACTAGTGAGTAGACGAGTCTCGGTGGGATGCCGTACCAAATCTCAGGTAACCGCTGTAGTCTTATTTAGCCAAGAGAAGTACAAGCATTAAAGATCAATAATGGGGTATTTACTTCTGTATTTTATGTTATAGAGCAAAAGGTGAAAATGTTTTTGGTCTTGTGTTAACCAGAGACCTTATTCCCGTTGTCTAACCAAAAAACCCACTGGGAACCAGAAGTGCAAAAATGCTAAGCTAGTTCTGGGTTTTAGGACTCACTACTACAGCACTTTATTACCATGCATGAAATCAGGTAATATATGAATGCTGGCATCTGTCTTATGGTCATGTAAAGGTAGTGAGAGAATAAAACACACAGAAGCATTTGCAATGAGGTCCTGGTACAGTAGCTGGAAGAACTGTAGAAATCATTGTCTAAGTTAAGTGCTAACATTTGTCACCTGAAAAGGTGTCAGCTTACGGGGACAGCTAGTAAAACCAGGGTTATTAACACAATGCTTCATGTCTGTGAAGCACAGACGAGAAGAATTCAGTAAATACCGAGACATAAAAATCCAGCTAACATCACAGCTCCCAGCCAGATGAATGTAAATAGCCTATGAACTGAACACCCTGTGGGAAGAGGTATTTCACTAATTTGATGAATGGCTTTAATAATCATTGAAGTCCCCAAGGGAGCGCTGGATGAAACAAGAAGCAGCTCCTGTAATAAAGAAACCTGCTGCAGATATTTATCTTGAATTTTAAAAGCTTTAATCCTGCATGCAGATAGAGGAAGAAGTTATGTGTGGTTAATGAATATGGGGGAAACCTTCGGGGCTTACAGCACTTTGCACTAGTTTAGAAACATTAGATTTTCCATGTCATCATCATAAAAAGATATTACTGTATTTAGGAGCCTGATTTAAGTCTGCTTCATGAATTTATTGCATTTTCCCTAATACTAGGATGCTCATAGCTCTTATGGTCATAGATGTGTCAAATATTAAGCCTGCTGTTGCAAATACAAGCTCACTTAATGTGTCAAGCGATGTCTGCACAGCACAGTTACATACAGTACAAGTGACAGCCTATAATTAAATGTGGGGAAAAAACACAATAACACTGATAAACAAACAAAAAAAAGATAGTCTGGGATTTTGCCAGAAAGTCAATAACTCTGTGTTTGTTTCAGAATCGGCACCGGAGCAAACAAACAGGAGCCTCCTTGGGGAAATAACTGCTTTCTGCGAGACCTTCAGCCTCCATTCAAGGTGGAAGGTAAAATAATGAAATAAGAATGGAGCTGGTAATCAAGCAAGCAGCTGTCTGCCTGTTGCTGCTGATACTCGAGGCCTGTGGAGTGAATTTTTCATAGCCCCTGGGACACAAAACTCACAGGCTATTTCTGCTTTTCCTCCCAGTGTGTCACAACACAAAGTAGCATGTTTTTTCTTTTTTTTTGTGAATGCCCACTGTACTCGATCTGGACTCCCCAGGGGTGAAAGACAACATTATTTTCTGGTTGAGTATGTTGCCCTTGAGAACCTTTAAGTGATGGTGGGAGTGTTTTCAGGAGCTGCGACAGCTGAGTGCAGCGGTGAACCGAGCTGCTTAGAGCTCTCTGCTTGGTACAGTGAGTCCAGTCTGCGGTCATCCAAGGAACCACACTGGAAGCTGATATAAAAGCCAAGCTACGTCACCTTGGTTGAATTAGTACAGTAGGATTGCAATTCACTCAAATGTAATATCGACATATTTCAAGTCAGTTTAAATGAGCTTATACAGCCAGGACCTCATCACAAATGTACTGTACAGAATTTTCCCCATTCTCGCAATTGAAACCAAAAAGGCCTCACTGCACCTTAAGTGATGAGGTGTGAACAACATGCATGCATGTTTTCTAAAACAATAGGTCTCATTCATCATCATTTTCCTATGTTTTTTTTTCTTTGCATGTTTTTCTTAAGAAAAGTCCAAAAAAAAATCTTCCTGAACACTTTTTTTTTTTTTGAGTCCAATGTGTTTGTAAGTTGAAAGCGTGTGCCACTCGTTCCTAATTAATGTAGGTTAACACTCCACCAATGCCCATAATAGGGCATGAGACTGTGGGGCTGTGTGCACACAGGGGAAACGGAAAAGCGCAGTTGAGAAAGCCAGGAATGCTTCAATGAAAATCTAAAGACGGTTTAGCAACGAACTCCAAAGCAAAGAAAAACTTGGGCAGTTATGAAGTGGAGAACAATGAATGAGCTGCCATATATAGTCGTGTCAGTAGTGGGTATAAAATAAAACAAAAAAGATGCATGGGATGCTCTTACTCATACGCCATGGTGCACCCAGGTCCCTTTAACTGCCCCGAGTCTGATCTCAGATGTGGCGCTGGACAACCAAATGCTTACACACTGGCCAAAATATCTGAGAAATTAACAGAAATTAGAAATAAACATATGCACTTAAACATGTGCAGCAGCATGGTGGCACAGTGACCTGTCCAGGGTGGACCCCGCCTCTCGCCCAGTGTCAGCTTGGTTGTCATGCTGATAGTTTTTAAAACAAAAAGCCAAGTGGGCATTTGGTTCTTTTACTGCAGGTGAATGTTTTGTCTCTTTTCATAACTGGATAAACCTTAAATAAAAGTCCATAATTAATTAAAGGGCTAATCAACAATGGACACCCAATTTAATCAAGATGTTCAGAAAATCCCAATATCCGAAATAAAATTTACAGTACTATTTATTTCACAGAGATCAGTGGAACACATGTTTTCTTCAGTGGGTCATGCTCACGCCAGAGATTCATGAATCACCAGAGGGAGCAGTGCCTTCAAAACATGACCTGTTAAAATGTACACCTCTCGAGGTGAGCATGCTGTAGTTTCAGCCCTCCTTCCACTCTCTTGCTCTCTGCTACCGAGCCTCCGCCAGCACCCTCTGCTGTGACAGCATGACTGTACAGTCTGTTGCCCGCCCCCCCTTGCACAGTCAGAGCTCCATTAAATTGAAAGCCAATGCAAACTGCCTGGGCTGGCCGTGCTCATTAAGAGGACTCTAAGCAGAAGACTGGCAGAGGATCCTACACACTAATGAATTGGTACACGCCCCCACACTGTGAAAGTGCTACGCTCGTGATGAATGACAGGATGAACACTGCCACTGCAACGGCTTGTGCTGGAAGTGAAGAACCGGTGATGCGGCTACATGTGGCGTTATCATCACTTTGTGGTATATGTCGTCTGCAAGGACAAAATCTCACAAACGCACAAACAACGCTCACTCACGTCATCTTCGTCTTCACTGGAGAGACTCGATCCTCATGAGCGTATTGCAGGTGACTGATACACAGTGAGGTGAAGGTACTGAGCCATCTAACCTGGTCGTTTATCTTCACACAGAACATTATGTCACAGGTGATTCAATTGAGTGGAAATTGGGGCACAGGAGCTCACAGGGCCCCAGCCAGAAGAACTTATTAATGAGTCAGGCTGAATCTAACAAACACCCTCCAGGGCATCCTGCTCTACATGACGGGTTAGCTCCCCTCTCATTGGGCACTTTATCAAAAGGTCCTATTTAAGAAACTCTCCTGAGGATTACCTAACCACAAAGGATACCCCAGCTCTCTTTGCCAGTGCTGCTGTTATTCAGATGTGAAAACGGGAAGCTTTTATTTTGTCTTCTGGATTAATAAAAAAAAAAAAGCTGAACATATCGTTATGGAGTGGAATGTTCATTCTTGTTAAGACTCCACACTCTGAGGCGTTTCTTCTTTATGAGCAGCCTGAGACACACAATGGGAAAGAGAACACAACAGTTACAGCCAATTTTAATTAACTTCCTTTGGGAGAAATGCTACTAATTGATTTTTCTTAGCTTGTCCAAGACAGTCAATCCATTTGGATCAGCTACACTCATTTATAGTGATCGAGCTAAAGCTAACTGGCTAAGCATAGGGAGCTCAAGGGACCGCCAGTGAGACACTGTGATGAAGTGGTTATTACACAGTTTAATTAGATAACAGTAAATCTATGTTTGGAGCTGCTAGAGGAAGATAAGATTGCTAGCAGGTAAAAACACCAATTCTATTTTTAAAATGCTGACACTGATATATATAAGTAACAGAATTTCATTGCAAAGTGAGGAAAACTTTGGCACTGTCGAAAGTTCATCTTGGCTGAAAACATTATTTTGGAGCAAACTTACATTTTTGAGGATGGCATAAAACAGTAGTCTCTGTCTATAAAGAAATTTGCAGCAAAGTTGAAAAGGGAAGCGAGCTTTAGTGCTGTGTAACTGGGACTGAATCATCCTTTTGTTACCACTGTAGACACATTCAGTTTTACCAACATGTTACTGTTGCTTCTCATTCGTCTACATGTTGGGACCACTGAACAGGAGGGATAATGGGGGTCACTGGTTCTGAATGCACTCACAGGTAAATACAGTAAAGGGATATTCAACATCATAGATGAGCCACCAATATAGCAAACAAGTATCAGTTATTCAAGATAAACAGTGATTTCAGATTAACAGTGGAGAGGTACATGGGCGAGTACCAACAAGAGGTCCGTAGCTGTGAATGTATAAGCCTTCACCCACCTCCACAGAAAGCACACCGCGAAATACAACACTGCACTCGCTGGGTGCCTACAGGAGAGGACATTTGTCTACATCACTGAAGGCCCTTGTGCATTTAGTTTTTATGCTTGCATTGTTTTACAAGTTGCTATTTCATGTGTTTAAATTAATCCGATAGCAGCTTGTTAATTAGAAACACTGACACATGGCAGTGTTGGAGTTGTGTAGACCATGTAATCACAATATTCCTGGCTTGATCTTGACTTTATTTTGCAAGTCACCCCGCTTTCTTTTTCCTCAGAATTCTGACAGGAACAAAGAAGAATTTGGTGGCGGTGGTTTAATTCTCTGCTTTGGTTAGACTGTAAAGTAGGTTCATGCTGCAAAACTCTCAAATGCATAAACTGGTCAGTGGCCAGGAGAACTACTGTAGCATTCAGGTGTGATCTTATGTGTACAGCATGCAAAGCTGGTGGAGACTGCTGATTCAGTTGTGTGTAATGTTCAATTAGACAAAAAAACTCACTTGTTCTGTACGTTTTCCAGGATGACTGCCAAACCAGGATAACACTGTAGCTAACACAAAGCTTATGTCATCAGGTACAGTACAACCTCCTCAACTACTCCTAGGCTACAGGTAAACCAACAGCTAGTTGTAAGTCCCGTTATTATCGCATTATTATAGCCATGATCCAAAATTAACTTGCATCATATTTAACAATTTGCATGTGGGCACATTAAAACTCGATTAAATTGCACATCACAAGTTTTATTCTCCAACCAGGAATGCAAAAACATTAACATTTCTATGAGAATAACCTCAAACATAAAAAACAGCCAACAGATCAAGAACAATCAATGATCACTGCACCCCACCCAGCCACTCTTCCTCAGTATTAAAAGTCAGAATATTAAGAGCTTTTTTTCTTCCAGTGCAGCTACCACCAACAAACAGAAAGGCAACTTACCATTACCAGAGATATGGTTATCCATCTCGCCATGTCCGACGTTGAGAGCTGCGTTAAGTTGAATGTAAAGTCCCGCGTACTGTAAAATCCCTATCAGTACTCCAAAGGCTCCCATAGCTTCAGCCGGCGTTTCGAGCACTTGTATGAAATTATCACATTAGGTAGAGAGCATTGATAAACTACCCCCACCGGCGTGGATCAGCTCTCACAGACATAAAGCTGAAGCTGTAGAGGGGAAGAGACACTGTTGTGGTGGAGCAGAGCTTAGGATGCGTCCATCGGGGGCGGAGGGAGAGGCGGCGGAGATACACGTGCAGCGGCTCGCACCGAGTCGAGGCGGAGGGATACACCCGTGGTGTCGATTTAACTTTAGTTTCTGCTTCGCTTCTAGCTCTTCAATTTAGATGATGGTTTGCATGACGGTGGCTACAGGTAGATATAAAGAATAATGCTTTATTGTTGGTTTCATGTAATTTCTAATGTGTTCAGTTTGTGACAGGGCTGTAAGACACTTCTTTTAAGGGCAAAATTAAAGGAATGGCCCAAGTTGCATTTCAGGAAATACACCTTATCTACTTCTTGCTGCAGTACTTACTTGTCTTTACATGTCTTTAACTGTACAGTTTAAATATTAGGCTATATCATACCGTAAAATCTAAAATAGGGGGATTTAAAAAGGGTTTGCATGGTCTAATCAAGAAACATTTGCTTTATGAGAGAAAATCTGTAATGTCAGTGTCAATATTGCTGTCAATTGCTGTCTCCCAGCATAATTAATGTAAGCTAGGGCATAACAGCCCAGAAGTGTGTCCCTGATGTTTTCTGGGGTGTGCAGATCATGGAAATGGAAATTATAATTTTTTTAAATTGACTTACAGAGTTTGTGGTGCAGCAGAGTATAAACCAGGTGTGGCACAGCTTAGACCCGAGAGTGATGTAAAGGTTACCCACATCCAATGCCTAACTTATCAATATTTCTAAATGATTATGTATTTTTAGATTAGAGGTGGGTGGATAGGAGTCTGTGTTGAGCTGTCCAGGACAGTGCAAACATGCTCTGGGCTCAGTGGAAAGGCAAGGGGCCTTCCCAGTTTGACAGCTAGAACATTCACGTTATAGCTGAAAGACAGTGATCTCATATTGGAGACAAGGGAAATATTCTTCACTGTCTCCTTGTCTCTCTGGTATTCTGCAAAGAAACATCTTTGCACAGTTGCACAGTAAGCACAAAATGTATCTCCATATCTCCTCTGATATTTCTGGCAATTGAATGACCTTTTTATAGACAACTGTTATTGATGTTTCTTACTATATAAAATACATGGTAAGAAAATAGCAGTGTGATATAAAAAGACTGCTGTGTATCTCTGGGTTTAACTAGGAGAGGTATAATCCTCTCATATGTATGTAATATGGAGCCAGTCATTTTTGCTTGGGTGTGTAATTATGTTATCAAAGGCAAGGGAGCCATTTATCCTGCTGACATTGATCCATGTGAGCAAGAGTCTGACATGTGGAGAATTACTGAAAACATTTAAAATGAAAGTTTAGCTGTTATTTGGATCACCCAAGTTTATATGAGTTTTGTTACATTCATATGGGACCACGTTATATAAATTTGCTTGCTGTGACTTTTATAAGTCCATTAATTACAAGGCACCTGCTGTCTTCTGTTGGTATCAGCAGTACAGGGAAATTATTTTTGGGAGGTTTAGGCATTTGGGACTTGCCTTGTCCACATTTGAGCATGAAAAGTCAGCACCATTTGAAGAGCTTCAAAATCAGTTTACAGCTACAAAAGCAAATCAGTTAGGCTCAGAGGTCTTTAAGAAATCCTACAATTTTCACTATGTGCCAGGTCTAAAGGAGACTCCTACAGCTCTTTATTTTTCCTCTTGGCTGATACTGCTCTGTGCTCTTCCTGTGGGTGTCAACGAGGCTCTTAAGCTCGGAGAACTGAAGGTGAAATTGAAGCTGATGTATGCAGACGTGAGCCCCTCAGACGGACACAACGCCTGCCTGATAGCTCTGAGCTCAGCAATTCCCCAGTTCTAACTGCATCAGACAGCCTAAGCCTCCGATGAGGTATGTTTGTGTGTGTGTAGAGATGATGGTTATACAGCACAGGGCCCGTTAAATATAATACTAAGGGAGTGAACTGGGACTCCATTTCAACCAGGGAGTGGATTTTAAAGCCAACTGCTTCCACTGAAGTTTCATGGCATCCATTATTTATTGCGTTCTTTTTGACACATTCAGCCACTTCTACCTGCTACTTTTAGAGAGCAGAACAGAGGAGCATTCCCTCCGAGCAAATAGCTGCAATCAGCAGAGGATGTAGTGTGCAACCGTTGCTCTCAACGTCACAATAAATAAATTAAATTAAAATTTGATGTATTTGTTAGATTTAAACATCATGAAAATAATAATAATAATAACAGTGATAACAACAATAATAATGATGACAATAACAACAGGAAATAACTAGTTGAAAAGAGGGCACAATACTCATCTGACCATATTTAAAAAATCGATGGCAGCTGGAACAAAGGAATCTTGGCTGCTTATACCTATGACCAGATGGGAGCAGCTTAAACTCTCCAAATAAGGGATGACTGGGATCAGCCGAGATGAACTTGACATTCTTCAGAAACCTGACTCTATATAAGCTTGATATGTCATCCAAAGATATACCAACAGTCTTGCTGCACCCCTTAATACCGCCTTATAACCAATTCCTGTTTTTAAGGATGAGCGGCCCAAACCAGCACACAAAGAAAAAAGTTAAAATGGCTTCAATAAGAATAAAACATCTCCATAAATACACAAATGAGTGTCCAAATACTTGTACTGCTGTACCACCCATACAGCTTGATCACTAATTACCACAGGGGACATGGATGATTGATTCTTCCTGAAATCAGTCACTATTTCTTTAGTTTTGGACACAATTATGTCCAGAAAGGATGACCTACACCAATCAATAAAATCGGACACTACTGGACCACGATCCTGGTCATCACCGTTCAGCAGAGACACTATAACTGAGTCATCTGCAAAGTTAATAATATGATGTCTCTCATACTGACTCTGGCACATATTAGTGTACAAGACAAATGAGAGAGGCAAAAGGACACACCCCTGTGATGAGCCAGTGGAAGACACAAGAGCATCTGATAAAATGGAACTGACCTTTATGCATTGCAACCTGTTTGTTAAAAAAATCAATGAGCCAATATATCAGGCCAGTGTCAATGTTGTGGGCACTATCTAGCCTGTCTGGTAAAATATGAGGCTGGATACTGTTAAAAGCTAAAGAGAAATCAATAAAAAAAACAGCTGTACTAAGGTGCAAATACCTTAGTACATACCTTCTCTAACAACATACCCCCAACAATCTTCTCAAAGGTTTTTATAATAAGAGATGTAAGGGCCACAGGTGTAAAATCATTAAGTACATTTGATGACTTGTTGTTAGGCATGGGTTATCATACAAGTTGGTTGAAAAAGTATAATAAACCTGCAAAAGTAATTTTAGTCTGAGTTACCTTGGCTCCAGTAAACCTTGTGTTTAGATTTTGGGCCAATCCTTTGCAGGGTGATCTATAAGTTATAGCCAAAGAAGACTTATCTAATGATTCCATTCATGTTTGGTTCCTGTAGCATAACCAATAAAGTGCTAACAGTATGTTTTACATGCCAAGCATGTAAAACATACTGTATGTTACATTATGTAATAAAATACTCTAGTTCCATATCTTTGAGTCATCACCTACAGTACATACTGTATTTAATTTGTTTAGCAGTTGTGGAGTTGAGCCCATTGTGCCCACTGACACTGTCCAACACAGCTAGGTACTGTTCCCACTTCTATTCATGAATGACATCAGCACTGCATTTCATGTGGTTTGCATCTAAGACTGTACATTAAATCTGTACTAATGTCTATTGTACCATTATATACTACTGTACATACTTATCACTGGAACTGATAATTACACATTTGGTACTGATGTTACACATTCCACATTGCACTAGTGTTTTCTTTGTATACATACATACATACATACATACATACATACATACATTTATTTATTTATTTATTACTTTTTTCTAACTTAATGGCACTCGTAGTGGAACGCAAAGGAATAAATTCATTGCACAACAAAATGCGTCCACTGTCCAGTGTAGAGGATGGAGAAGTTGACATTAGTGTTCCATGTTCAGCAGATACCGGGCAACCAACCAGCGATAGATAACCCCCAGGTAGCATCCATAACGTTATTAACATTAGTGTGTATATGATAACCTGTTTTTCATTAATAAAAACAAATAAATACAGTTGCCAAAAACTCTCAGAATTATTATATGTTCCTATCAATAGATACAGAAGATGAGACAATTAACAGAATACTAGCATTATCATGTAGGCCTGCATGATGATATGTATAACCCGGTTTCTCTGTGTCCCGTGTAAACACCATATGCTGAATATGATCAAAGCTGGGATACTCTTAATGTCCTTGATACTCATGTCCATGTACAGAAAATGCACGCAGTATCAGGCTGAATGGATTAAGCAAAACAAATGGAAATTTGGTCTAATTATCTGGAAGCATCTGCTAATGTCTCATTACTCTTCTGTTTCATTCTTCTTTTTTTGTCCTGCTTTTTTCATTTTGAATGTTAGATTTATGGGACATGCTTCTTAGTGCTCTTTGGGGTCCTTTTAGTCCTCACATTTCCCAACCACAACATTCGCCTTTTGTAGCTGTAAACATTATCCTTAACTCTTTAAACATCACTTTCTATTTTAAAAAGGCTAAGGAAATTGCAGTGTGTGTGGCAAATGGCCTCTCTACTCCATGTGCTCTGTTTACCACATAAAATAACAATATATCTTTTGGCTCTTGAGTACACAGGGATATCAGGCTGTTCAGCACTTCATGAATATTAAACCAAGCTCCAAGCTTTGGAAGCCATATAAAAAACACCTTTCATGCACAAGGTGAGGGTGTAAGATTTGTGCACAGTTGCTCACATGCTCAATCATGTCTGTTTTTTCAAGCTGCTTCAGATGCTTATGGATTTAGCTCCATGGCGTGTAAGTCTAAAGCATCTTCTCCAGGCTTTTTAACATGTATGTGGTGCAGGTAGCACCTCCAAAAGCAAGGCTATTTTGTGAGTCAGATGCTGGATAATGTTGCCGTACCCTGGTGAGTACGTGCAGGACACAGTCTGAGAGAAGAGTTCCTCTTCAGGGTCAAGTGGAGAAGAAAGATGACAGAGTGGGATTGTTTCTTCTTCATAAGGCCAAGCCTTTCTGTATACCACACAGGGACAAAGATGCACTTTCATTTTGATTGCATTTAAACTATTCTTGTACTAATCCCTCTCCTGCCACAGCATACTACAACTGCTGTAACATATGATAACATACAGCGCAATAACTGCCTTCGTTTTAAAGCTGTAGGATGTTGAGCAGTGTAAAAAGATCATTTTAAAAATGAAATGCAACACAGAACTTGGTGTGTGGTTGAGGAATTATCCCCCATTTGTAGCTGTCAAACCACCAGACTCAAAACTGTTGAATCATTTGTAGCACCAACTGATCCAATGCCATTTGCCTACAAAAGACTGTTACACCATGACACTAGTTCTCAACAGGAGGAAAGTGTTTTCACACTCCACAGAATTCATCACTTTCTAGTCAGGCAGGTTGTTGGCCCGTCTCTCTCCTCTGTCTCTACCTGTCATCTCACTGACCATTCAGGTAAAATTATATGATGGAAAGAACCTTGCCACCATTTCCTGGTTCACTGGATGCAGCTCTGTGCCTCAGTAAATCTTTGCTGTTCATTTTTAACTGGCTGCCGCTGAGAAGCGAAGATGTCAACCAGCATCTCGGCAGCAGCAGATGTGGTACATTAACATACACAGTATAGATACCGGCTTTCACGGTCAAAGATCACCCCCATCACTCCCAGTCCCACCAAAGGTGCGAATTTCTCCCTCGGCTTCCCCTCCCCTCCCCTGGTCAAAAGTTCCCCCCCTCCCTGCGTCCTGACCGGGTACATCTGTTCTCCCTTCTGATAGATGAATCTAAAAAATAAATACCGGTAATGATGCAGTTTGTAGTGTTATATAGTAAATAAAACAAATGGTGCATAGAAAGTATAGTAGTGATTTGTATATTAAATAGAGTAAAATAGGAGAAAGTAAGAGTTGACCAGATATTTCGTTTCAAATGAGGGGAGTGAGATGACAACAGATGTGTTTGAGTTAGGTTTGAGTAATTCCAGAGGTGTGAAACAGCTATTTAAAAAAGACATAACCATTATTATGTAGTGTGAGATGAATAAAACAAAATGCACATACAGCTAAAACAGAGTAGTGTAAAAATAGGAGAAAGTAAGAGTTGAGCTGATATTTTGTTTCAAATGAGAAGACAGACGCCCTTGAGTTAGGTCTGAGTAATTGCAGAGGCGTGAAACAGCTATTTAAAAAGACACAGCCGTTATTATGTAGCGTGAGATGAATAAAACAAAATGGACATACAGCTAAAACAGAGTAGTGATTTTGCACGTTTTGACTTGAGACAACAGATGTCTGAGTTATTTATGATGGGTAATTATTTAGATGGTAAAAACAGCGTTTGTTTGAGATAAATCAGAGGGTGGCATATGTTCCTCATCACAGCCTGTTTTTGTAAGAGAGCTGCAAAAAAAAAAACCAGAGTAATACACTCAGACACAAGTCTCCCTCGGGGTTTTTCTTTTGTGTTGCTGTAAGTTTTCCGGGTCAGGCTTGCAAATATTTTAGCATCAGCTGTACCTTGAGCACAAATATTTTACTCTTCAACTTGTGAAAGTATTAAAAACAGGTCATTTAAAAAGATCTCTTTTATTTAAACATTTGGATATTGGATGTCCTCGCAGAGAACAGAGCTGCCAGCTAAGATGACATCCGGGTACAGTAGTTCCACATGTGTTATCTGGATGCAAAGCCTGTGTTCACAGCACTTTATCTTTGTTTAATGAATAGATCTCTGTATGTCTTTCACTGTACACGTTTGTGTGTTTGTCCAGGGCATGCCGGAGCAGTGGGCCCGTCTCCTTCAAACCTCCAACATCAGTAAATCTGAACAGAAACAGAATCCTCAGGCCGTCCTTGACATTCTCAAATTCTATGACTCCACCAGTGGAAAACAGAAATACCTCAGTTTTTCTGCATCAAGTCAGTTTTCTTCTGCTGAACAGATAATTCAGTGCCCACTGTTAACTCCGCAGTCTTCTGTCCTTACGCTTTCTTGTTATTTTTCCTCTTTCAGATAAGGACTCGCAATCAGTGAGTAATTCCATTCATTATTTCCACTCATAATTCCTAATGTTAGTTTGAGTACATTCAGTAAATTTCTGCCTGTTGTTTTGTTCCATGTGTTTCCTTATATGTTTGCTATTGCAGCCAGGCAAGCAGGGTGCGATGACCTCCCCATCAGGAGGTAAGGATGGTGACGATGACGATGATGATGCACCACCTCCGGTTGTTGCACCACGACCAGAGCACACAAAATCAGTGAGTTGTGATAAAAAGATTGTGATGTCTTATTCTTCGTAAAGAAGCACTGTTCATACAATATTTATGAACTGTGAGAATAGAAAACCACCATGGTATGCTGATGTCACATACTTGGATGTTTTATTGTGGGCATTTTGTTGATTCTGTTACCCAGAGTGACTTTTAGTCTTTATTACTGTAAAGTAAGCTTAATATCCAGTCACCAAGAAAAAATACAACCACCTAAAAATAAAAAGGGCAAGGTCATCCAAGGTCAGCTTTTCGTTCCTGTCAGGTGTACACGAGGTCGGTGATAGATCCGCTCCCAGCTTCAGATGGAGCAGCTGACAAACAGAAAAAGAAAGGAGGCAAGATGACCGACGAGGAGATCATGGAGAAACTAAGTATATAAAACGCACACGGTGGCACAGAGCTAAATTTTATAATAAGTTGTTTAAGGCTTTGATGAAAAAAAATAACATACAACACTTTAGTACATCCAGTGAAGTTAAATCCTCAGAGATTGAACGGTACAACAAAACCTTGAAACAGAAAATATACCGCTACTTTACAGCTAAAAACACCCTCAGATATTTGGATGTGTTGCAACAAATTGTACAAAGTTATAATGACGGTTATCACTCCAGCATTAAAATGCCCCCAGCGCAGGTGAATTCTGAAAACGCCCTGACTGTTTTTCAGAATTTGTACAGCTCGTTCCCTCTACAACACAGAGACAAGCTAAAGATGAATTTTAAGATTGGAGATTTGGTCAGGATCTCTAAATTAAGAGGTGTGTTTGACAAAAAATACACTCAGGCATACACTGATGAGGTGTTTAAAATAATGGAGTGCGTTCCTAGGATACCGGCTGTCTACAGGCTTTGTGATTACGATAACGAGCCACTGCAAGGATCCTTTTATGAAGCGGAACAGCAGAAAGTTATAATTTCCAAAGACAAAGCATTTCATGTGGAAAAGATTTTGAGTAAACGCACGATAGCAGGGGTCCCGCATGTATTGGTTAAATGGAAAAACTGGCCCGACAAGTTTAACAGTTATGTGAAAGCATCGGATGTGGTAAACGTGTGAAACATGGCTAGCTCTGGTTTTTACATGACTCTGCCCTCAAACGCTAGCGCAGATGTCTTTAAAGATAACTCAGCTTCTCAATTTCGCACAGATCTTGCGCGGCCTATAGATTTAAAAGGGGACTGGGAGGTTGCTCTGACAGATTTTTGTTATCCAAATACGTGGCTGACCATACCTCCAGAAGGAGACCGTTTTTATTGGCAAGACACGTGGCAATTCGGCATGCTGGAGCAGCCTAACGTTCCACTCCCAGCGGATGAGGATAAATATGCCCACTTGTCAGCTCACATTTCACTCCCCCTTTACACCGAAGGGTAACAGTGACCACTCCGCTCCAGCGACCAAAATTTTTTACGTTTTTTCATCAACAATGAATCCTTCCAAGACTGAACCTGCTGCTCCTCAGCACTCTCCCGCTTCATCCACGGACTCTGAATTCGAATATCTGCTCCAGCCTGTCAGCAGCAACAGTGAAGAGGAGGAAGAGTCTGAGGGGGAGGAAGAGGTGGAGGAGGAAGACAGCAGCCAGCACAGCGATGACAGTAGCCAGCGGGAGGAGGAAGACAAGAGT